TAAACGGGCCCAGTGCCCAAGGCTGATATTATCAATAAGATAATTGAGGCCGGGGTCCTCACAGTCTACCCGGAGTAACCGAACCCAGCTTGCCTGATGAGTCGGTGCAACTTTGCAAAACAGTCTGTTCCCCGGATGTCTTGTCCGTTTCTCCCTTTCCCACCTGTGGTGCAGCGGAAAGTCCTCCTCACTGCTATGGTTTCCTTGGGTCAGGTTGAGTGGCATCACTACGCATCCATGCTGTGCCTCTACCGTCTTCACCCGAATACAACGTCCGGTCATTATCGCTGTACCTAGACTTTGAAAGTTGAACCAGATACGGCTATAATGATCGGGTTTTCTATTCAGATGAAGACGGTAGTATCGACAGCATGTGTCTGGTCTCTGGAGTGTATTTTCTGGCTGCGGCAGACCTTACTTTTTTCTTTTTTTATTTACTAAAGAACAAGCTCCAGTCCGTTGGCGGGGAGCAAACAATCGTCTTTTCTTGCGTATTGCTTCCATGATCTTAGGAGCATGCGTTCTTCGGAGCATCAGTCGCAATGTCTGAAAACAAAGTCTAAACTTTTAGCTCATCGTGTCGTTGGCCATCTAGGTTACCATCTTTTTTTTCGGGGGGGTAGTAATTTTGGACCATTTGTCACTTTATGCATGTCATTCTTGTGCAGGGTCCACCGTGATGCTAAATTGCTAATCTTCTCCGTGTCGTTCCAATTTTAACGGATGTCCCGCAGGACTGTAGGCTCTACTTTTTGTTGTTTTTTTATGTTGAACTATCGAAGGTATTATGTACGTAGTCTTTGCTAATACGTGCTGAGGCGGCAGAGCTTTCTTTGTTTCTTGGGGGTGGGGGGCTTCACTCCCTTATGATGGAGATTGAACCTGCAGTCCATAGAGTCTTCCGTCGGGTCTGGGTGGGTCATAATCTGATTTGATTCTCGTCACAGGTACCCCTCAAGGGGGGGAGTGCTTGGTGCCCCACATCAGCTGTTTTAAGACGAAATGACAGTTAACACTATCATCATCGCTTAGGGGACTCTCCAGAGTGGAGATGGTTCAGCCTCCTGACAAGTCCGTGGACTTCTGCTGGAACAGTCTGTCATAGTCGTATGTTTCTTTTCCTGTTTTCCTTTTCTGCCTACAGTTACCAGTCAGTTCTCTGTGACAATGCATATATAATATATACATATAATAACTTACATATATCGTCAAATAGAACTGCCCGGTAAACCGTAGGCAGAGAGGGAGAAGAGGACAACAAACGAGGGGCTGTGACATGTATATAAAGTGTGTTACCTATAATAACTTATATGAATATATGTATATAATAACTTATATGTATATATGTATATAATAACTTATATGTATATATGTATATATGTATATAAAGTGTGTTACCTACGGGAACATTTGGGAGGGTCTGACACCCCACCCGAACGTTCGGGGACCCAGCCCCAACACCGGACCCCAGAGGCCCTTGAGTTTGAGACCCTCCAAAGCCTGCTTGAGGGCCCTTCTTTTCTTTTTTTCTTTTTTATTTTTTTTTGCAGGTTCCCCTCCTTATGGACTACCACCCTAGAAAGTTTTAGACTGTTCTGACGAGAAAAAAAATAAAAAATAAAAAATTAGTAGAAATCAAAGATGACTATTCTGCCTTCAAACCCTGCTTGGGGCCCCTTTTTTTTCTAGTTTTATTTTTCAATTTTCTTTCTTTTCCTCGTTCGTTTGTGAGCGGGTGCACGCTCGCGTGCACGTCAGGGGGGGGGGGGGGGAGAGAGAGAGAGAGAGAGAGAGAGGGGGAGAGAGAGAGAGAGAGAGAGAGAGAGAGAGAGAGAGAGAGAGAGAGANGAGAGAGAGAGAGAGAGAGAGAGAGAGAGAGAGAGAGAGAGAGATCGGTCAACCCAATCAGCCCGATTGGATTGGTGGATCCTATATCAATCAATCAATCAATCGATGATTTCTTTTTTTCCTTAATGAGGAGGCGGAGGACAACCCCTCACGCAATACAGCAAAAAAACATTGAAGGTCGGCGTTCAGCCGAATGCTGGCTTCCGTATATATATATGTATATGTATGTATGTATGTATGTATGTATGTATGTATAAATGTATGTGTTACGATCCTGGTCATTCCCACAGTGCAAATTCACAATGAAAGACGATGCCACCCAATTGCGAAGAGATAGAGACCAAAGAAGAGAGAGGGAAGAAGAAGAAGCAGAAGAAGAAGAAGATGTACACCAGCAAGACCAATGACAAATCCCCCTTCTCTCTCCACCTTCCTCCTCCTTCACTTTGCCAATCTTATTCTTCTTCCAATAATAATAATAATAACAATGAGTGGATGAACCAGAATCAATATCCGAAGTTCCCTCTTACTGCTGACACCACAACAGGTCCAGCATAGCTATGGCTTCCCTCCTTCTTCCTCCTCTCACATGCCTAGGCTATGGCGGACTACTTAGGGTCCTGCCCTCCTCTCCAAAGGACAACCCAAAGCAGCTATGGTGCTGTACTCCTGTCCAAAGGACAACCCAAAGCAGCTATGCCGCTGCTGACTAAGCCGCCATGCCTGACTCTGCCTCGAGCTTCCTTGGTGCGGCACTACCCCAACTGGGGCCTTCCAGATGCAGCACCCAACAAGGTGATGAAGATGGTGTCCACCATAGATCCATAGCCAGGTAGGTGCTTCGCCACTCTCCTCCTTCGCCCCATTCTTCCTCCTCAAGCTGGGCTGCTCGCCATAGCCAGGCTGAGCGCCCAGCTGCCCTTCACCTCCAGGCAGCGCTGCACCAGTTCAGCGCTTGGCTCAGCAGCATGTCGCCAATCCTTGCATACCGCAAATGAGGAGGAGCTGGTTGCCCCTCTGGAAGACATAGCGGCATACTGGCCTCTTCAGCGGTGACTTCCTAGGCGGAGCGGCCTCCCAGCAACCGGTACCTCCTCCCTTTCGGAGGGAAACATCATTGCAGGCTCTGCTATCGTCTGGACAGGCCCTAGACTCAGGCTACTTGGACTGGTACCGGCCTACCTCTATCCTACCGCTACTGGGCCTCTAAAAATGCCAACTTTTGTCTTCTTCTGCTCGGCCTCCAGTACCCGACACTCCTGCCACTACTTGAGTGGTACTGGCCTACCTGCTACTTGAGTGTTTTTCCCTGCTGCTCTAAGTGTCGCGGGCCTACCCCCGCTACTTGAGTGTTTTCCCCGCTGCAACCCTCAAAGTCACGGGCACAGGTAAGAACCGGCCTTGCGGGGCCTTTCAACCAACAAGTACCCTTGCGGGTAACACACACACTCAGCCGACAAGCACTCAGACAGGCATGAAAACCAACAGGCATGCACACACACACAGACTTGGAAACCACAGCAGAATGCGGGAATCTCAGCAAGGCATTCGTTCCAGCGGCAATTCCCAGAAATCAGCAGTGTTCTCAGTCTGTGTTTTGGCGGGCCATTACATATGCATGTGTACATACATGCATACATATGTATATGTATATTATACGGGATGAAGCCTAAATCGATGGATTAGTCGCACATTGCATACTTGAGCAGTGCAAATCCCTCGACACTCAGCTGGTTGGGTTAATGAAAAGTTGTACTAAGCAGTTAATTTGTTTGTTTATCAACCTCCTGATGAGTTGATGAAACTCCAACGAAACAGTCTGTCACAGCCCCTCATTTGTTGTAGAGTTCTCCATCTCTGCCTATGGTTCCACCAAGCAGTTCTCTATGATGATATATATTTTACTATAATTTTAGTGTATACATATATCTCTCATGCCTCACAGCTTATCATGGTTTGTTTGATTTTAAAGCTCTAAACCATAGGGTGGAATTTCTTGCAGGACCTGTACAATCACTTGGATATGGTCTTGGATGGCGTTTTGCATCCTGAAGTCCTTAAGAATGAGCTTATCTTCAGAAGAGAAGGATGGAATTACCATCTTCAGTCTCCAAATGACACTCTTACTGTAGAAGGTAAGGTGACTGAGGTGAACCTACCTTTTTTCTATTGTTTCTTTTTTGACAATAGGGCTTTTATCAACTTCTTTGCTAGGCTACCAGAGTGGCCCGGGGCCACTTGCCTGGCCGGGGCAATACAGTCAATGCTGTCATTATTATGGGTTCAATGGGATTTGATCGAACTTTCAATCTAGATTCGCATTGAATTTTAAAAAATAATAATATCAATTTTCATGCAATCCCTTGAAAGTTGATGAGAGAAAACTATATGGCTGTCCCCTGACGAGGAGAATGCAGCTTTAAAAAAAAAAGAAAAAAAAAAAAAAGGAAAAAGAAAGAAAGTTGATCACTAGTACATGGAAATGGTGTGGCCATGTAAGTTCAGTCTGGTCGGGATGTATGGGTCGGCCTGCGCCATGGCTACGATCCGGACCGCCGTCCAGACGGTCCGGATTCAGTCCGGACTCCAGACGTCCGGTCTGGAAGGCCCGGATCTGCCAAAATTTGAGGGAAAAAAAAAAAAAAAAAACGGTCCAGGACCCTTCCCCATTGAGGAGCCAAGCCCCCAAAATTGTTTTGGGGGGTTTTCAGGCCCGTTTATGCTTTTTTGGGGGGTCCGGACATGCTCTCTCTGTATAATAATTTATTAGACAACCCCAATTTTTTTATTATTAATAATTCATTACCTTTTATTAGTTTTTAAAGTCTTTTTTTAAGCTTTTTTATAGTTTTTGACTTGTAAGTTGTAACTCAAGTTTGGTTAGGAATTCTGACATGACTCTGAGGCAAAAGTGGTTGGCATTGTTATTCTGCATAGCATACTTTTTTTTCAGATTTTTTTATTTTTATTTTTAATGGTCCGGACATTTCGGGACTTGTCCATACATCCGGACCGTCCGGATCCCCCCATGTCCGGAGGTCCGGAAATGTCCGGAATTCCGGACGTCCGGAAATGTCCGGAATTCCGGACGTCCGGAAATGTCCGGTTCCATGTCCGGAAATGTCCGGGTTCGGGTCCGCGTCCGGCATAGCCATGGCCTGCGCCCAATTAAATTCAGATGCACGCAGACAACCTCAAAAGAGGATGAAGGAAAGCTCGCATGTACTGGTTGTTTAAGAGAAAACAACAGTTGATTGCTCATCGCTGAGGATTTTATTTTTTTATTTTATTTTGTTTCGATACATTGAATCTTCTTTGTTAAGGATGTTTGTTAATGAATATTAATTTTTCCTTGGTCATGCTCGTTAATTTTCTTTGCATGTGGAAAAAAAAAAATATTGAACATGCAAATGACTAACAGGTGTTGCATGGAATGAGATGCTTTGGCGATACTCAAGCTCATCTTTCAGGCTGGTGAATACGATCAACAAGGTCAGGATCCCAAAACAAATTCATTAAGTGTACATCAAGCTTAGTGCAAACTGTATTCAACTTTCTAGGGAGACGCGACAACCAACGGATCTGATCCGTGAAAGTGGTTGCGGAGGTTATCAGCTGCCTTACAGGAGCGAGGAACTGTGTGACTAGCAGGAATGCATATCTTACTGGTGTTTTTGACTGGCAGTGGAAGTATTTAGAGTTGTTTTGATTGCGTAGATCAGTTCGCCCTCCATGATAGAACTGGTTGTATGCCTGCTCGTTGGTATCTACCCTTGATTCTTCTTCTTCTTCGTGCACATGGAGCGTGTTATAACTGTGTCGATGCTTTGATGAGAGCTGCTTTTCAACGGATGGACTGTTAGCATGTGACCTTTTTTTGTTGTTGTTGTTGTTACAGTCTGTGAACACGATATGAATCAGAAAGCATGGGGAGGATCATGAATATCTAATGACCTATTAAGGAACTACTCATGCAATAGGTTACCACAGAGGTCCTACGAATGCTCACAGCCCTCAGGATCCCTAACAAGCCCTTCTAAGACTTTCCAACAGACTTACTCCCTGCTGAGCTCTTCCAGGCCTCATGCCCCCACCCTGCTGGGTTACAGGGCAACACAACTCGCCCCAGCTCCGACCAGCGTCGTCCCAGCAGCAACCCTCGGCTGTCCCTTGGCATGCCCACCCCAAAGCATCTCCAGATCTCTCTACCAGGCCTCACGCTCCTGCATCAGCAGGTTACAGGGCAACACCCCAGCACCGGCCAGCGTCGTTCTGGCATCAAACAGCCGCAGATCACTGAGTATGACAACATCGAAACCGCCTAAGATGGGTTGCTAAGAGTCCCTAGAGTCCTAAGACATTCATAAGAACAACCGACTTTTTTTTTTTCCCACTATTCAAACTCTACCAAGTCACTAGAATATGTGTGTCAAAAAGGCTCCCAACCACGAATCAGATAGGTGAAACCTTTTCAATCCACCTACGACCACCACCAGCATGGCTCTTTTCAGCATGAACCGAAGCTCTTCCAGGCCTCATGCTCCCATCAGGTTAGGTTACAGAGTTGCACCACCTTGCTCCAGCACCGGCCAGCATTGCTCCAGTTACAACCCCCGATGACCACTGAGGCTGCCCCCGCAAACAGCCCCCCAGAGCTCTCTACCAGGCCTCACGCCCCCACGAAGCTAGGTCACAGAGTTGCGCCACCTGGCTCCGGCTCCGGCCAGCGTTCTCCAGCATCGGTCTTCGAGGGCCACCGAATTTTCAACCACCCTTCGCAGGATCACAGATGACTTGCCAGATAGCACCTATTCCTACAGCCTCCTCGGAAGGCAAAACCAAATGGAAAGAAATAGTAAAGTGGATGATAGCAAGTTTGGTTCGGTCACTCCGGGCAGACTGTGAGGACCCTGGCCTCAATATTTTCATTGGTAATGGTAATATCAGCCTTGGGCAAATCGCCCCTCCCTCCCCCTACCCCTCCCCCCTCAGCCCTACACTGCCTCCGCCGAGGTGAGTCATCCACTCTCCCTCGGCCCCAATATAGGACCAACCCTCTACCCCCCTTTCCCCAGGAGCACGCAGTTCCCACCTAAAGCATGCCCCCCCACCCCTTGCCCATTTCTGCCTCTGCAGGGACTGATGTTGACCCATGCACCAGCCCCTGCCCCAGAATGGCGCAATCCCCTACTCTGCCCCTACCCTCTTTGAGACATTCAACCCCCACCTTGTGATGCCCCTGCAAGATAGAGCTCCCCCCACCCCCTTCCTACCGTTTAGCCCTCCGGGAACGATCCGATCCTGCCGACTACAGTTACTGATGACACACTTACCAAAATGTCGTTCGCAATTTGGAAAAGCAGGACCTCTTCAAAAATATGCAATAACCCCAAAGGATTCCTAAAATATGAATGAAAGAATCGGAAATTTTTGAAACTTACGATGAAGAAAAGGTAGATGAGATTTTTTTTGGATTTTGCTGATGATGACGAACAGCACCATGAAGCTGATGATGATGAGGATGATGGTGACGACCAACTCACCTGCTGATGTAAAAGGCAAGCAATGCCTTGAAGAACAACATCTAATGATAACAAACTGATGATGTCAAAGTCCAACAATGGAGTAGCAGCAACTGAGTCAGGTCGCAGCGCTGCCGGGAGCGCTGCGCCTGAACCAATACCGCTTTCACACGGCGGGTTCTCACGACGCGCTGCGGGTGGCGTTGGCGCGGTGCGGCTCATACGGCGTGGTCTTGTGATTTGCTGCGGGTGGTGATGACGCGGTGCGGTTCCCGAGGAAGGCAACGAAGATCGATGCGGTGGGGTCGGCAGCTGCTCTTCTTCATACGCAAGGGTGAGTTAGGGTGCAGCGCTTGTTGGGTCATCGTTTTCTTCAGGAGTGCTGTGAGCATGACGTGGGGATGTGGATGACGGGCCGTTTTGGTGCTCCTGCTGGGGTTCGAACTACGTAGCGATGATGTGATGGGGAGCTGCGATCTTGCGTGCGTTCTCAGGGCAGCAACGTTGGTGGTATGGCGGCGCCTTGTGGAAGACGATAGATTCAAGTGGGTACTGCATCAACCCCATCAACATCGAACGGGGATACTCCAATTCGACTGTCTGCTGGTTTTTTTTTTTTTCGTTGCCCTTTGTTCTTCTCTTCCTTTCGAGCAGCTTCCTTAGAGGTCCGGACCTCCTGTGGACCCTTGTCGGCGGGCTCGACAGGGTTGTTCCACACCATCTTGAGCTCGTAGTGAGCTGAAGGTGGTCTGATATAGCCTTTGTGTCGCTAGCTGAAATGGTTTTTAAGGGCGTTTGTGCACCGATACTGCTAGCAGATGACGGGTGAGGGAAGGCATACCGCTTTCTCTTCCAAAGGCGGGCAGGGGCTGGGTTGGGGCGGGTATCTGCTGGTTGTAAAGGAAGACGACTGGGGGGGTGCTATTATGGATGATGGCAGCGGAGAAAAACTTTCAACACAGGTAAGATTCATAATCTTTGGTTCACGATTAGGGTGTGGTTGTCGTTATGATCTTCTAGAGTATGACCGCCTGTTTGGCGGGCGTTTAGATATCTTGTTCTTTTTTGGAATACGTACTCGAAGGGTTTCGCTATGATTTCCGGTGATATTCTCCGTTCATTTCTATCTACCCTTACCTTTTTTTATCCTTGATATTCGTTAAGCCATATTTTGATTCAAGATCTCTTAGTTAATTTCTTTAACCTTAATTTTGAAGTCTCAATTCTCAAACGATGATTATGTCCTTTACTACAACCCAAATTACGTTCAAGAAGTACTTTCTTGCTCTTCACATTTGTTAGTCCAATAGATGGACATCCTTCATAGTTTCTACTCAAGCTCCTATTAATTTCCTATGGATTTTTCTACAAAAACTCCTGATCCTTTGCAATCGTGAGTCCGGCTTCGGACATCTCAGATAATCGTTTTTTTCGATCTAGAAAATTAAAAAAAGCTCTATAATTGGGGGTCGACAGATCCCTAAATCATCCTTGGAATTTACATCCCAAGATTTTGTTGTTGTAGTCTGATTTCTAAAATTGGCTTCCTATTGCAACAGTTTGGAGGCTAATTTTTGCACTGATCAGTTTCACGAATTGACGTTGGAATCTCGTACGTATTTTCACTTGATTTTGCTTAATTTCGTTCGTCTTCCCTTAAGGAGGGGGCTGGATTGCAGGGGTAGGATGGTATGATGGGGGGAAAGGACGCGCTCTGTGGGAAGGGGCTAACTGCAGGGTGGAATCAGGGCACAGCAGCAGGGGAGATGGTGGCTCCACTGCAGTAAGTCTTGCCGGAGTAAGATTGGATAGGTGGTGGGCGGTATCAGTTCTTTTCTTCAGGGGACAACTTTTCTTATGGGGTGTTGGGCTTGTTGTTATTTCCCATGGAGTAGATCCGAGTCCTTGCTCCAAGAGGGCTGCGGGGTAAGAGGGGGGAAGGGGGGCAACCGAGGGGGGACTGTGGGTTTTGTTAGTAGGTCAGAAGGAAGGGGCTGGGACGACACGGGCTGGTGCTGGAGTGGTTTTGCTCTGTGACCCGGAGAGGAGCACGTGGCTTGGGGAGTTCTGTCGAGGGAGGAAGACAGAACCAGCACTTTCGACGTGGTCGTAGCTGGGGTATATCCCTGTCACCATAGGGGCGTGCGGCTATGGGGAGTTGCCGAGGGAGGAAGGCACTCCTCACCGTCTACACTAGGTTGGTCGGTACTGGGGCTTAGTGGTGTCCTGTAACTCTAGCTTGGGAGGGTATGAGACCAGCCGTGTGTCGGTTTGAGGACTGAATACGAGACCTGTAGTTTTCTTCAATAGTTGTGGGGAGTAAGTATGTCCCGGGGAAAGGAAGGCTAGGTATTACTTTAGGAATCTGGATCTAAAGGTCTGCTGGTGTTTTTTTGGTTACCAACGAGGGTCTTAAGAGTGTTTTAGGAATCTGGGGACCTCTAATAACCCAGCTTAGATGATTCATTGCTGATGTACTCAGTGACCCGCGGAGTGTTTGATGCCAGAACGACGCTGGCCGGTGCTGGGGCATTGCCCTCTAACCTGCGGATGCAGGAGCGTGAAGCTTGGTAGAGAGATCTGGGGATGCTTTGGGGGGGCATTCTAAGGGACAACCAAGGGTTGCTACTGAGACGACGCTGGTCGGAGCTGGGGTGAGTCGTGTCACCCTGTAACCCAGCAGGGTGGGGGTGCGAGACCTGGAAGAGCTCAGCAGGGAGTTTGTCAGTGTTGGAAAGCTCAGATGGGTTGCTAGGGATTCGTAGTTTTCTGAGCATTTGTGGACTTTTGTGGTGACGCTCTTAGTTGTAGCAGACTGATTCTCCTGAATTTTGTCGAAGTAAAATTCTGAGTAGCCTAGAAGTTTTCATAGCCAAAGCCGGGTAATGGCTCCGGCACCTTAAACTTTCAAATTCTACGTTTTTCATCATTACGATCTCGGTCATCAACATAAGGGACGCTGAGCCCGGT